GTGAAGGGCACTATATAAATGCAAGTTACTGTTGTTATGTTGCTTCACTCATTGCATTGTGCTGTAGCTCTTGTCAGAATTCCTCTCATTGTGTAACTATTCTAGTTTGTGACATTTCAACAGTTGTAATGTATCGTTCAGTGGTTGAAATTTGCACTAAGCTATAGCATAAAAAGTAATTGTTATATTCCATACTTCATAGCCATAGGCATTTATGAGACCCACATTTATCCACAAAATACACAGCCAGTACACTTGACAATAATTGCCTATGAAGCACTTTAATATTATAGGCACCATAGCAAATCCAAGGATTATTATTTATTATTATTATCATATACAAACCTGAAATTGAGCAGAAGGACATGTTTTCTCTGTTGGCAGATTTTATTTGTTTCAGCAATTAGTAACCTTTCTCTTACTCTTACTCTTACTCTTACTCTTATTCTTACTCAGGAGATGCTTGTACCATCATGTGCCTAGGATTAATTAATATCTATCAGAGAGATTTAATAATAATCCTTGCATTTGATATAGCGCTTTTCACATCTTCTAGACGTCCCAAAACACTTCACAGAATATACTGCAAAGTGAATTGACTGTATATTTGTGGGCAAACACAGCAGCCAATTGCGCACAACAATGTCCCACAAACAGTCGGAGATTGTAAATGACCAATTTTATATTGTTTTTTGTTTTGGAGGGATTATTACCTCCTGGGGGATTTAGTGACATTGTTTTTTCAGCTCTGGAACCTAGCTTTGATTGCAGCCTTGCCTGAAAGTCCCTTTCCTCGCTCTAAGCATACTAACTGGAATAAGCTGAGATAAGATGGACGACATTGGGTTTATGGACAGGATTTTTCTGTACTGGGTCTCAAAAAACAGTGAAGGGGAGTGACTTTGTCAGGGGAAATGACAAGCAGGTCACTGAGGCTGACAAAGTAGCTGAATTAATATACTACTACTACTACTAATTATTATTATTATTGTTGATTCTCTGATGCTGATTCATTTTCAATTTGTGGCCTCAGTATATTCCTTCCAGCCAGTCCTTTGACAATTTCATAATCATTCCCTACACCAAAAAGATGTTCAAGACACCATCAAAAATAGATAGGTAAAATAAATATCAATGCTGATGATAACTATTTATAACTGATCTGAAGAGGTAACACTCATTCTGGTAAATCATATTATTAAATTGTTTTGTAATCCATTTGAACTTCTATTTGTGCTCCAGAGAAAATATGGTTTTGTTAACTGCAGAATGTAAGAAAATATTAGCTCAAAAATTATTTGGGCTTTCGCGTTTTTAAATTTTATTTTCACCCACTAAAAATATATAAACTTACACCACTTTACCATATGTCATGTGAAATGCTTTGAGATATCTCAAAAATGTGATAATGTGCTATATCAAACACAAGGATTAATATTTATTATTTTGATTTTAATAAATAAATATTTTCTCAGACAGAGACAAAAAAACTGTTAAAAAAATTGTCTTGCTGACACTTACAGCTTTATCTGGGTGATATGCTAATTAAAGCAAATTCTGACCTCTTACAACTTTGTGTTAAAAATTTTCCCTTGAATAAATTAACTCTGTTAGGACCCAAAATTGAAATTAGACTTTATAGAAAGTGAGCATTATCTGGGATTAGGATGTTCTGCTGTGCACAAGAAACCAGAGATTTAGACTATTTGAAAGGCAGCATTCTAATGTAAATGTTGGTGCAAGGTCATTTTGCATTAGTTTAACACTTTCCTTTGTTACCATCTCTCTGAAAAATGTTCCTATTATATTGTGCCTCAGTTCTTAATGAAATATTTCTACAAAATATTGATATAGGAGAAACATGTGGAGCTGTTAAATTATTTCCTCAAATTACTGCTAGCTGTTGCACTTAATGTTTGCTGTGGTTATAAGAAATCTCATGAATCAAAGATGCTTGAAAAGAGGAATATTGAAGGTTATGGGAGCGAGCTGGAGATTGGAATTAAACTAGACCGGTCATGTGGTGAAAAATACCAGAGCAGATTTAATGGGACATTCTATGATTCTTCAGGATCAAAATTGTGGTCATGGTGTTGGTCTTGCACCTACAATCTTCTGACTCAAAGTGTGAGCCCTTACCAACTGAACCTATATTCTATTAACAAACTAAATTGTATATTCTGACAAACTATATTCTATTCTACAAAACGCAAAATACCTTAGATGATGGAAATATGAAAACAAAAACAGAAGCCGCGGGGAACACTCAGCAGGTCAGGCAGCGTCTATGGAGAAAGGAAAGTGAGTCAACATTTCAGGTGCACGACCCTTTGGCAGAACTTCGTCAGTTTTGACGAAGGGTTGTGGACCCGAAACGTTGACTCACTTTCCTTTCTCCATGGATGCTGCCTGATCTGCCTAGTATTCCCACGACTTCTGTTTTTATACTCTATTCTAATATTTCCAAAATGCAGCAAACCCTAGTGCCACATTGCAAAATAAATTGTGTAACCCCATTAGAAATGAAGCAATGTCACCTCACCCTATTTGTTTCAAATATTAAGCTTGCCTCATTCTTAGTAACGCCAAAGACTATAATAAATTACCTTAGAATTCTTGCAAATTCCAAATGTTGCTCTCTACATTTCACACAGGGTAGGCCAATCAGTTGAATACTGTGCTAGGGACCAGCAACTGATGGGTTTAAACGATTACTAGGCTACAATCCATGCACCAAATGAAGCTGGAACAACTAATATGCATAGGTTTCTAATTCATTTCACCCAGATCACTGGTGAGGCCACTTTAAAATGCCATGTCCAGTTTTGGGAATACTAACTTCCCAAGACCATTGCTTGGAAAGCGATTAGGGAAGAGCAATCAGGATTTTTTCAGAGCTTTATGTTATGGGAGAGCCTTCCAGAGCTAAACTGATTTTCATTAGAAAGAAGGTTCGGGGGGAATAAGATCCATGATAAATGTTGTACATTTTGTAGTAAGAGGAATTTCACATCAACACTTCTTCACATGACATGAACTACCACTGGATATACCTACTGCATTCTGTAAATACTTTATAATCGGTTCTAAATCTGACCACTGTTGTGTGGCCACCGGTAAAAGTTCCTGGACATAAACAGTGTTTTGTCCAGGCAAGGCACAAAGACTTAAGCACAATGAGAACTTGGGCTCCTGTTGAAACCTAGGTTGTGTGTTATGCAGGGAATTGCTTGTAAAAGACATTGTTTCATACAGCAGACGCTTTTCCCAGCATTTGTGAAGCAGTGACACAGGGCAAGAACTCTTAAGATACAACATGGAGTCCTGTAGCTCAGTGGTTAGAGCACTCGCTTTGCAAGCGAGAGACCTGAGTTCAATTCCAGGCAGAGGGCGAAACCTTGGGCAAGTTTCCTTACTCCACACAGAGCCTAATAATAATCCCTCCAAAAAACAACAAAAAAAAACAATAATAAAAAATTGGTCATTTTCAATCTACGACTGTTTGTTGGACATTGCTGTGCGCAATTGGCTGCCGCGTTCGCCCACAAATATACAGTCAATTCACTTTACAGTGTGTTCTGTGAAGCGCTTTGGGACGTCCTCCCGACGTGAAAAGCGCTATATCAAATGCAATGATTATTATTATTATAACATGGTAGAAACATACAATACAATGCAAATTTACATTTATACACATTTCTATACATTTCTCATGGGGAGGACGTCCCAAGACGTTTAACATTTTTGACTTGACATCCAAGCTGGGGGTGGGAGCCAAGTGGGCAGGGGAAGAAAAAGATGACTGAAAGCACGGTCAAACAGTTTGGTCTTGAGGCAGCTATTGAAAGAGGTGAGGGAGGGAGTTGGAGGGCACCGGAATAGAACCATAAAACATAGAAACAGGAGTAGGCCATTCAGCCACTCAAGCACAGAATTTGCATTTTCATTTTCTTTTAAAAGCACAAAACAGATATGCCTTCCTTCTGAAATATTTAGTTCAACACAGGATTAAAAGATGAGCTTTCTGCATGCCAAAGGAGCAGTATAGATTGGGCGTTAAGGGTACAGGTTAAGTGTTTGGACCTTTTTAATCCATATGGCTCATAAGTACACTGTCCATGTTCCAACTGAACCATTCGTCCTCCTCAAGGCTGGACTATGGGAACTCTCTCCTCGCCGGCCTTCCCGGCACCTCCCTCCACAAGCTGCAGGTCATTCAGAACTCTGCAGCTCGTGTACTGTCCCGCACCAGGCTTCGCAACCACATCACTCCCACCCTCGCTCACCTCCACTGGCTCCCCATCCCCCAGAGGATCGAATTCAAGATCCTCATCCTCACCTACAAGAACATTCACGGCCTTGCTCCCTCCTACCTCTCTGACCTACTATCCCCCTACTTACCTGCCCGTACCCTCCGTTCCTCTGGCTCCGGTCTGCTCCACATCCCCCGCCCCAACCGCCCTACCATCGGTGGCCGGGCCTTCAGCCTCTCAGCCCCTAGGCTCTGGAAGTCTATCCCCCAGTGCCTTCGCCGCCTCCTCCCTTTCCTCCTTCAAGGCCGGTCTCAAGACCTTTCTCTTTGACCGTGCCTTCAGCTCCCCTCTCAATTCTCTACCCCCTCCTCGCTCCCTCCCTTCCTTCCCCTCATCCTGACCATTTTCCCCCCTGCTCGGGTCCTGACCCAACTGTACAGCGCCTTGGGACGTCCTCCCGACGTGAAAGGCGCTTATAAATGGAATCTTGTTGTTGTTGTTGTTGTTGTTGTTAGATTGTTTTGGTTTAATATCACAAAAGACGTTTTTCAGGAAACATAAAATAGATTTTAAATATAATACACTTAACTCATAACTTAAACATAACTCTTAGAGACAAGAGAAACACAGTTCTGTATGACTACACATAACTGCATATATCATGCATTAGATAAAACATTAGATAAAATGAAATGGAAATATGATTCAATGAATACTGTACCTTGTTTACCTGTAAGGAACACACACCTGACAAAACGCAATCTTCACATCCAGGATAGGCTCACTGCAGTAATACAAGAAATGTCGGCTCATAAATACCTACAGGAGGAACAGAAACACAAATGTTGTTTCAATTTCACATTGAATGTATTCTTTCTGAATTAAATAAGGCAGGAGTATTGTGATAGATCAGATGTTGGTATACACTGAATTGATATTTATCATATTCACTTAAATTGCCTCTATCCTGGATCCTTCCAATTCAGCCAGTTATATGCAAGTCAAGCCCCAACAACATGGCATAATTAATGAGAAAGGTATTGAAAAGACCAATTCAGTATCTATTTATGATCACAAATACTGCAGAGCTAGTGCCATTCAATGCTTAAGATGGAGTACACATCAAGTGTTAGCTATATCGATTTGATTCTGAGCTCCACTTCACAATCAACTGCACAAGGATTTCAGGCATTGAAACTGTGCCTTAGGTCCAACATAAATTGGACTTCTATTACAGTTGATTTTAAAAAAAACTTTCAATCTGTAAAAAAACAAAAAGATTAATAAGATTCTAACCTAGATCCGATCTATAATTCAGAAATGATTTATAATCGCATTCATAGTAAAGTAGGAAATGGAATAAGAGCATTAGAATGCAATAGGGATTTTCTTCTGGGTTAGAGTTAAGTTGTAACGTTGGACAAAGCAGAGATGACCTTACTTTACAGGTGCTCTATGCTATATCTGGCATAGTAATGCTTCATTATGGATAAACAATAAAATAATAATAATCCTTGCATTTGATATAGCACTTTTCACGTCTTCTAGTGAATTGACTATATATTTTGTGGGTGAATCGCGGCAGCCAATTACGCACAGCAGTGTCCCACAAACAGTCGTGGATTGAGTGACCAAATTATTATTGTTTTTTTTTCTTAAGGGATTATTATCAGGCGTGTGGAGTAAGGAAACTTGCCCAAGATTTCGCCCTGCCGGGAATCAAACCCAGGTCTCTGAAGAAACATCTCCTCTGATTTTCTCTCCTTCAACTTTTGACTTTTTTTACCTCCTACTAGGGTACTCATCCACATGTTTCCTCCTTATTTCACCCAAATGGCATTCATGTGCAACCTTTGACAGCTAGTGTTAGCAGGTGGTAACTATTAAACCATGGGTGACATCCAAGCCAAGACTGATCCTGTCCTCACCTGATCCAGCTACACTCATCTTCCAGCAGGGGTTTTTGGACAATGATCAAGAGCAGGAACCCTGCCTGATTTTCAGCTCCCTAACTCAGGATGTTGAAGCAAATTATCACACCCCAACTGAGAACAGCTAACTCAGCACAGACTGGATTGATCTTCCAACCTTCCTGTCTTTATGCCGTAATAGTAAGGTCTGTGCCCTTACTCACTAGGCCACCAAGGGAGCTATCAAACAGAAGCACTGTTTAGATTGTACTGCATATTTGTTACAATCGGATAGATCTTTTCAAGTTTCCCTTTCATTAAGGTACAAACACATATCACATAAGACACCCATGCCTTTTTAACTTATCAAAATATCCATTTCAGAACTAACTAGACCTCTATAGCCATTCAACTTAATATAAACTGTGCTACCCTCTCAGTCTCTTAAGGAAGATAATCCTTACATTTGATATCCATTGTTCATTTCAGGACTAACAACAAGTTCTCTATAGCTACTCAACAGCAAAAACCCTGTTACCCTTTTACGTCTCAAAACCTTCACATGATTTATGGTAAATTGTGCACTTTGTAGGCAAACATGGTGGCCAATATGTACATAGCACACAGCCTATATGGACTAAGGTCAATTACACATTGCCCAGTCATAGTATGACTGAGGGTTACATAACTTAGAGGTCACTAACTGGGCACTATTAGAATCTGGTCATATACATTAAAAACTTCGAACTGAATCAGAGTTCAAAATCACTATTGTGAGCAAGTAACCCGCTGACAATATTTCCCATTCATGATTTAATTTATTGTCATCGCTGCCTTAAACTTGCAAAGATTGCAGTTGTAAACCTAATTTGCAAGAGATTAAATTCAGAACCTACCATTTAGTATGTTTTACACTGAGATAACATTGATTTTTGACAATGATGATATTTGAACCAAAATCTCCAGGGAGATATATATATAGCAAGTACCTTGGATAGATAGGATTTTCTAATTCTGGTAAATAATTATGTTTTTTGCACAGAAAACCTTCTTGGAATTTTTCTGCAATTCAAAATGTTTAGGTGAAAATATATATACTTCAAAATAAACTTTTGTTCAGCATTCATTATAAAAAAAAGCTGGACTCCAGGTGCAGCCAGCAAGGACTTCCTCCTTAAAGGATTAAGGAATAGAAAAAAATAGTGCAATAACATTCAACTTGGCTTGGAAATGGTGTGACCATATAAAAATTACCACCCTTGGATTGGATAGAACATTTTTCATGGCAGTAGGATGTCTCAAAACACTTCACAGAATTTACTGTAAGGTGTAGTGACTGTATTGAACCAAAAACCAGGAGATGGGCAACCCTAAGGAGTGGGATGACTAAGCTTAGTGACAGGGGATATTGCTCAAGGATAAATCAGTTGAAGGTAAATGGAGATCATTTTGTGTAAAATGTAGGACATGGACATACCTAAGTACACCTGGGGAACAAATTAGAAAATTACTCTAAAATAAATGAAAGGGAGTATGAACAAGTAGACGAGTGGACACTGGAATTATTTAATAAACAGCTTGATATTGAAATGTTGGGGATGGCGTTCATCATGGATGCTCTCATATGTGGCAGCTGGCTTAGTTGGTAGCACTCTTTTCTTTGGGTCAGAAGATTGTGGGTTCAAGTCCCATGGTGGGATTGTAGACTCGTAATCGAGGCTGACAATCCAATGCAATTCTGGGGGAGCAGCTCTAGGTGAAAGGATGTCCTCCTGACGTGAAAGGTGCTTTACAAATGTAATTTTTTTGTTGTTGTTGTTGTTATATAGGTCTAAAGAGAAAGAGGGAAGACTGGATAGAATGCAGAAGTGTGAACCAGAGCTTATTTCCTCTGTAACCCTGAACCTGAGTTCTCTTATTAGACTGCCCTGGCAAATCTAAAAGTATTGTTTGGGTTTACTTTCTCGATCCCATTTAGGATCAAATCTGAAACTTTCAATGTTAGTATGGCTTAGTTTCAAATTGGATGATGGCTTTATAAACTGAGGAAGCAGAAGTGAAATGATGTGAAGCACAGTATTACAGTGCAGCACCTCATCTGGTCTACTAGCCTATCTGAGAACAATCAAAATTCATTCTAGCTGTGAGAGACGTTTCCTGACACTCACATCTGCAGCCACCATTTTGAATACACCCAGTGTGCTTCACATGGTCATTCCTGTAGATGCAAGAATGTTTAAAAAGTAGCTTAATGCAGTGATGGGGCTGGGCGGGTGTTCTGGAGAGATGAGATTGGATGGATCGAAGGGCCTTCTTCATCCAGACCATTCTTGTGATCTTTTTATCTTGTGAGACAATGCATTTCTGCATTGCATATACTGCGACCACACTAAACATCCAAACATCACAATTTTCTATTTGCTTCCCTTCTGCCTACAGCAATCTTATAACATACAAAGACTTATCTATGCTGCACAACTCCAATTGCCAACAAGTACAATTAAGCACAGAAAATTATAATTATGTATTTTTCTTCATGACAATTTCCTGGATGTTTGGATGCAAGTGGTATCCTTTTAATCATTTTATTAGAAATGAATGATAAGATCTGACTAAAGGATCTTAAATAGTAATTAAGCTATTTGAAACAAGTACAATAAGCCTTTCATCTATGGAATAATGATTAATGTGGAGCAATAAGTATACCGTCACATACAGTGGGCTCCTGCCAGGGTTTTACAATGATTAATGCTGGGGCAATGCTTTCTGCGTGATAGGTAATAATTACAAGGAAGCTACTTTTGTTCCCTTATACACACTCATTAGGAGCTCTAGGAGCACAAATTTTGCAGCTTACATTTTGTTGTCTATTTTAACACCTTCTCTTTCATATCAAATGCTGTTATTGTTTCACCCTTTTTCTGTGGCAACATCCTTTAAATGAACAGCAGCAAGCCAACAAAAGCAGTCCTGAGAATAGCTCTGAATAGAACAGGCAGTTCGTTGGCATACACAGTGACTGCACTTGACAGTAAAAATCCTGTGAAGAGCTTTGAAATGTTTTGTGATAAGGCACTATATCAAATGCAAAGATTATTATTATCTTATCATTACCATTTGGAGGCCTGTAGTTTAGTGGTTTAAAGCACTCGCCTCGCAAGCGAGAGGACCAGGCAGGGCAAAACCTTAAGCAAGTTTCCTTATTCCACCGGCCTCTTTACCTAGCAGTACGTAGGAACTAGGTTGTTAGTCAACTGGCGGATCGCTTCTCCAGGGGTAATAATGCCTTCAACGTAAATAAATAAATAATTTGGTCACTCAATCCACAACTGTTCATGGGACACTAATGTGCCCAATTGGCTGCCACATCTCACCCACAAAATATACAGTCAATTCACTTTACAGTATATTCTGTGAAGCGCTTTGAGACGTTTCGAAGATGTGATAAGGCACTATATCAAATGCAAGATTTATTATTATTATTATTTGTTATTAGCATGTTGCAGTGTTATTGGTGATACTGTTGAAAGGCAAAAACAAAAATGTAGTAGCATCAATTCAATAGATTAAAAGTTGGATTGTTAATTATTATTTGGTACAAGTGGGTTAGGCCACAAGTGGATATAAATACACACAGGTAACATCAAAGCTGTTCAGCTTGCAAAATGCTGACCAAGCTTTTTCTTTTACTTAGTAACCTGTTATCTACTGCCAGCATTTTCTGTTGCTATTCAATACTGCTCTCCTTAAATCATAATCGGAGATACAATGAGCAGTCTGCTGTCAGGAGTATATATTGTATTCCACTTATAATGGAATTTATCTTCTATGAAGTGGAGGAATGCAAAAAAAAAGATAAATCCTAAGTAGCTCACTCTGGTTTGTAAAGTTACATTCCCAGTCTCAAGT